CCCCGCTTGCGCCGCTCGGCCGGACAGAGGGAAGGGGACCCGACCCCGCAAGCACGGTGTGTGAGCTGCCAGCGCTGAGAGCGCAGCGGGAGAAGGAAAGCGTAAGGAAAGGAGGGGGGAAAGGTAGAACGCACCCAGACGCGCCGGGGAGGTCTCATCTACAGCAGCCGAGCTCGGCCCAGGGAGCAGGGAGGAGGCGGGGGCGGTGCCGGCCCGGCCAGGCGAGGCGAGGCGGGGTGAAGAGCTGTGCTTTCCGTTCCGGCTCCGCGCCGGGAGACGGAGCTCGCAGCGCTCTAAACGCGCCCACCCGGCTCCCTCACCACGGAGGCGGGGCCGGGCCGTGCGGCACCGCCCTGCTCCTTACCTGGACACGCACTGAGGGGCTGCCGAGCGGGGCAGCGCTGCGAGGGGAGGGAAGGCATGGGACGGGATGGCATGGCACAGCATGGCATGGCATGTTGGCAGCGCTGGGAGGGGAGGGAAGGGCATGGGACGGGATGGCATGGCACAGCATGGCATAACATGGCACGGCACGGCATGGCGGCAGCGCTGGGAGGGGAGGGAAGGCATGGGACGGGACGGGATGGCATGGGACGGGATGGCACAGCATGGCATGGCATGTTGGCAGCGCAGGGAGGGGAGGGAAGGCATGGGACGGGATGGCACGGCACAGCATGGCATGGCATGTTGGCAGCGCTGGGAGGGGAGGGAACAGCGGGAGCGCGGTCCTGTGTTCGGTGCGTGCACAGGAGTCTGCAGGCTGTGTTTTTGTACCGCTGCCGGTACGGGGACAGACAGGACGGCTCTGTAATGCCCTGGGAGCTATTAAGTAGTAGAGCGTTTTTCAGTGAGCGGCTGCAGACCTGGGTTCAGTGTGAGTACGTGTTTTGGCTGGGGCTTAGGCAGATGTAAGTCCGTACTTGGTTCATGTCTTGCTCTATATGAATTCATTCATAGTGAGGATAATGTAAAGGTGTGTGAAGGTTGTATGCTTCCCGTTGTATAATCTTAAATAAATACCTTATTCCTGAAGACTGGGTGTTGCAATTCCCAGCAACTTCCATGAAGCCATTTACTGAGCTGCTAGCGGTGCAGCTGGACCTGCTCGCCAAAAGGCCTAAAATCTGAAATTCGGAGCTATTTTGTCTGCTGAACTAGACAAAAGCCACCTCCATATGCGGTGAAATTAGATACATGCAACTCCCAGCTCAATGGATTTCAAAGCATTTACAGCGAGTCATTTTTTTGGTGCTGCTAAAAATAGAGCAGTGGAAGCACAGTACTCTGGGATAGCATGCACAGAGTCATACTGTCTTTGGAAATGCAGGGAAAAAGGAGGCAGGAGGTAATCACCCACAGTAGAATTTGGTCAGGTACCAAGTGACAGCTCTTTGGTTCTGAAAAAATACATGTTTTCTTACTGAAACTGTGTGGTCAGGCTCTCCCTGTAATATCAGTCATTCAAGGGTATCCCAGTATCCTGGCTATTAAGATGTGGCATTGGATCGGTGCTGATTCAGAAGGCAACCAGCTACCTGCTGTGAATCAGTATGTACATTTTCTCCTTGGATCTGTTCCAAACAAACACATAAAGGCTAATAAAAGAGGATTAAGGAGATGGTATGGCTGCAGACTTATTGAAGAATTTTTTTTCTTTTGTGAAAGAAGAGTGAGTGATTTACCCATTTAACACAGCCATTACTGGAGCTACCAATATACTCTTTTGTTTACGTGCTCCACTTTTTCCTTAATGTACCTAATTTTTATATGCTTATTAAATGGCTTTCACCTTTTTATAGGCAGCATTTGGAAATTGTATGCAAGGTTCTTCATTCTTCCCTGTTTCTTTGTTGAAATACCACATTGTCTTCCATAGCTACTCATGTGAACTAGAACTGTAAATTAGTATAAATGTACAACATGGTTCATAGCAGTAAGACTAGATATTAAGGAGAAGAGATGGTCCTATATGTTTCAGTGCAAAGGGCTCTGGATATGAATCTCTGGCTTGGACATACTTCTTTTGATGTGCTTTCATAACAGGTGATATGCTTTAATAACAGGTTTGGTCTATTTAATTTTGTAGATTCTCCTAGTTATGTAAATCAAAAGTCTAAGAATGTATGTCTCCTAAAATACTATGCACTTATCTTTTATAATTTGATAAGTAGATCAGGATGACTATGCTCCATCTGTATGCACAAATGGTGTCACTAGTTTAATTTGCTATGTGTTGGTGTTGGTTTCATTATTTAAAAAAGGCTCAGTCACTAAGGGAAGTGACTAATTTTCAAGGAGTTTTCTTTTCCATTGGAATAATGGTGAAAGGATTAGATTATCTGACTTTCAGATTTCTCTTTGGCCTACAATTGAGGACAGAGAATGTATAAAACATCTGTAAAATCAATTTCCTTTCATACATGTAAAACAGTTTGGATGAATTCCTGAATGTTTTGATACCCACAATGAAATCAGTAAATTTAACTGGAAGACAAGCACGGGTCCTGAGTATATTCCTGTCAAAACCCTCGAAGCAACTGCTCCTAAATTCAATTAGCCCCACAGAGAAAATACACTTGCATTGATGTATAAAGTCAAGCTACTAAAAGGTGATCTGGCAAAGATGTAATTGCAGGACAGAAGCTCGTAGTTTGAGAGCACAATGGAAATTTTTGTATGAAGGTTCTCAGGAGTGATTCAAGGCAGGGTACCTTTATCACACACAGTGACAGTCTGGTATCTAAGCTGCAAGTGCCTCACGTAATGAGAACAGGTATTCTATTATGCTCTGAAATAGGAACTTCAGAGAGACAATTTATACTGCAATGTAGTCACTATTGGAATAATTTAGCTGATTTTCTGTAACACACAAATTTGGAAGATTATGCTAATGACGTAAATATCAACGTTAGAATAAGCAAAACCAACACATAAATCACAAGTATCTTTCCAAGACAGCAAAAATAGCTCTTTTGACCACTGGTGGAGATGAGATTTCCACCTGCATTTCAGAAAATGGAGCACCAGATACAAAAAGAGCTTCCTGACTGTGGTATCACAATCATTCTTCATCTGCAGGTGCCACTGCAGTTTTTGACCCTATTTTTTGCACTGTAGAATATCTCTGCTGCTAGACAGGCTGTTTTAATGTAAGGACAGCCATTGCTACGGTTACAGTGAAGACAGATTTGGTACTATTGTTTTAATAAACGGGAAATACTCCATCCCCAGGCAGGATTGGTATTATTATACGTGTGAAAGAAAAATCTTTATGAGTATTGTATGTATTATAATGATGAGACATTTTTATATTCCACAATATTGGCGAAATATGTTCATCAGAAATCAAAGGCAGTTGTTTAAGGCAGTAGCTGCCTTCTGGCTATAAAACCATCAAATAATACCACTTTAATTCATAAATGCATGACTTTCACCTAAACTAGTCTAACAGGGAATATGCTTGATATATTTGCTCTATCAGTGAAGTGGGAGGCTTATAACATTTAAAAAGACTGATTCTACTGCACATAATTCTAGCTCTGGTAATTGTTTTTCTGAGAGACCATCTAAAATTCAGTGCTCTTAGGACGCTTATTCTTGGGCCCAGATAGAAAACAAGCACTGAATACCAGCCTTAGAAAATGTGTATTCTGGATGGTACTGCCTGAGGGACAACAGAAATATTTTGTGCAACAGACCTTACACAGAACAGTAGGTTCTTGATTTGTTTTTTGGGGAATGATGCAACTGGATAGGAATGTTTGAGGAAACAATTAGGCAAAAAAAGTTTAGTAAAACCAATATTTGAACTATGAACAGCGCCTTGAGCAATGTCATACAAAGATGACAGGCTCCACTGAATAGTACAGCTGCACTCACACAGTAACAGATGTTGCTTATTGGCTCTAAAAATGAAGCTCTGTTATTATCTCACTCAAAAAGGTTGTGTGTGTGTATATATATATATAAAAGAAAAAAAAAGATATATTAGCCATGTTTTGCTAGGACATTTCAACTTTTTTGTAAACCTACAATTCTTGGCAGGGTTACTTAAAATTTTCGGTTTCTTCACCATGGAAGTGCAATATATAATCGTGTAGTGACATTTAGTTTGTCACTTTTCTGTCTAATTTTGCTTTTCTGTTTAGTGACACAGATACCCTGTTGTTTGGATTGAAAAATGATATAACATATCCTCCTTACTTTGTTACTAATGCCTTCACAAAATTTACAGTAGGATATTCAGTCAATTCTAATTCCTAGCACTGCAGAGGACATATACTGCCCACAAGCCCATTTCATTTCTTCTTTAGTCTTAATTCCAGGCATCCTTAAAGCACTCCAGAAGTATTAATATACTCTAGGTGTAAAAATAAATATATACTTAATACACCAGAACAAAGAAAAAAAGGAATTTTTCCTTTCTTTTTTTCACAGTACAGTCCAGTATATTGGAAGTCATATTAAGATAAGGTACAGTTAGTGCTGAGTTGATTTTATTCCACTTTACTAAGCAAATGTGGTAGAAATGTAATTTTTAATGTCCGGATATTACACAGCAGATTATTTTGGTGCATAGTGCCTGCCAAGTTCATTATCTGTTCAATAAGACTAAGTATAAGCTTTGGTCTTCTCATGCTTTGAAGTAATTTGGGGTAGTTTTTAAAGCTTTAAGCTTTTTATTTAGAGACATAAGAGCAAATAGTAACAAATATATCTGAGATTCATTACCACTTACTAACAGAAAGTAGTTATTAAACCTGTAACAAATACAGTACAAAATTTCTCTTAAAAGCAACACAGTTCTCAATTTCATTAAACAGAATGTTGGCAGGGCTTGAAAGAGCTGGTCTGATAGTCTCCCTTGTTCTTTAAAGGATGGTGCAGCAAACCTAAGAGCACTCTTGTGTTGCTTTTCCCCCAGATCAAGGTCAGTTAAATTGCTCTGGCCGTGTTCTTTGATCCTTCCACCAAAGTATAATAAAATCAAACAAACATGGTTTTGCCTGTGATAGACTTTAATATGCATATTGTAAGTACAGGGTGAGCAGCAGGCTTGTGTGTATTTCAGCTTACGATTAGTAAGTATGAAGTTGTCATACTTGATCTTCAGTGATGGCCTCCGCTTTTCTTTGGAGGAAACAGTGTATATTCAATGCCAAGAGCTATGACAAAAGCTGCAAATCCCCACTTGAGTCCCCTAGTAAAGACTTCTGTTATGGTGACAGGTTTTGCAAAGCCACCCATAAATCTCCAGGCTTCATTACTAGAAGAAAAATGAAACCAAAAGAAAAAAACAAGATCAGTGGAGCCACTAAACATGAACAGGAACATCTTTGTTCATAAAGAATGCTTGCTGAAGGTATTTCAATTAGAGATACTTTGAGCCTCTATAAAATGTTCTGTCATTTAAGTACCAGGAGTTACCACAGGTAAAGTTTACAATATTAACTCTTAAATCTTTACATGCATAGAGACAAGTAACTCCAGCAAACATCACAGTTATAGGAAAAGAACCACTTCCCCAAATTTTTGTAATTGTTGTCATCTGTTTTTACTGTGAAAGAAAATCAGAACCCACTAGCCCTTGCATGGGATGGACTAACTACAGAGGCTCCTCACTACAGTAGACAGTATCTAGCATAGTTAAGTCTTACAAGGAAAGCTTTTCCAGAGATAGAAAACTCATCCTAGTGTGGAGGCACTTTCTGTTTTACAATACAACACTTATTAGGTTTAGATGATTAAAAACAAAAGGCTGAAGAGATTGTATTGAGCTTTAGCTACAGAATATTTACAAATTTCACACTGTTTTGCCTTACTGTTGCCAACATATGTTCTTACTGAAACGTTAGGCACCAGCTGAATACCAACATTTATGGGCAGCAGGAGCATTGTTTCCTATAGAGATGGATGCAGTTTATCTCTTCTAAGGACTCAGAAGTCCTTAAGAGAAGGAAAAAGAACCAAGCAATAAAATCAGAACCGTCATTCCAGGAGAAGATAAAAGGTTTTAAAACAAGGGGGCCAGGTATTTATGTTCACAGATAATCCCCTTGTGCAGATGGATTTTGTGACTCGGGATGAAAACATTTGGGCATGGAAGTGTATTGTCTAGATGCCAGTATGGGGTCTAATTGATACAGACTTAAAGTTTCCAAATATGATATTTTTTACAAAGCCTATTCTGTACTAAATGTGTACATTAACGTGCATTTGCCATAAAGGTGGAAAGCCACAGAAATAGAGGCAAGATAAATGTGACACAGCCCTTGAAAATTCATTAAGGACTGGTATTTCAAAGGATTCCTGTCATCATTAAAAGTATGTTTTACTTTATGCTCACAGCTTTAAACTGATTCAAAGGAAGAAAAAAAGTGCCGTCAATCCTAAACCCCTCCAGAGGTTGTAGCATGAAACAACTTTTCAACACATTACCTATTTGCTCTTCCAATTTTTCTTGTAGCAATTTGAAGTAAAGCCCTTTCTATGAGGGCTCCTGGAACAGTTTGCTCATGCAGCTTTTTCCTTACAGAGGAACCAGACTACACAGCACAAGACACTTAGCATTTTTATCTCCCAAGATGAAAGGGTGGTTGAGCAAAGTATTGCATAATTCACTAGGTGGGAGAAACACATTAAAGCCCTGTTTTAACAGCTGCCTAAATGATCCAGAATTGCTCTATCTAAAAAGGAGGAGATACTCGCTGTGGAGTGGGACAACTTAAGAGGTAAAAGCTGATTCTCCATTATGTCATTCACTTTTAGCCAAATGAAGTGCACAGTTGGATGCAATTCCACCCTGTATACAAGTACACTTCTCAAAGAAAGGCCTCCTGTTGTGTATGAGGAATGCTGCTCCTACTCGGAATGTCAATTCCATTGCCTCCATCAGGACCTGAGCACAGTCTCTGTGCAGAGAAGGACAGGCTCACTGACATGTGTAGGCCTGGTATTACTGCGGGGGTGAGGTGCTGGTCACTGTGCCTGAGCTGTATCCTCACGAAACATCCCAAAGGGCAAGGCTGCCTTGCAGTGCATGGAGACTGGTCAGGGAGATGGACGGTGTGACCTCCACACAAAAAGTCCACAAAGCCTTCACTGAAATTCTAACCAATTTTCACTGTTTTTACCAAAGAACGGTCTGCAATGACAAGGTCCAGCTGATGCTACAAGACTACAGATCAAGGTTATTGTTGAGGCTGCTGCACTTACCGAGCCCACGGATCCCTAAGACCCCGCTTAGCCAGCCTTTTCTGGACCTCCTCCAGCGGGGTGCCCTCTATCTTCCACTGCCTGTAGTCAGGGAGCTCCATTTTGCCGTGGCCATGGCCGTGGCCGTGTTCATTGCCGTGTCCCATCCCTGCAGCAAAGGGAGAGGCTGCTGCCTCGCAGAGAGCGTCCTGTTGTCTTCACACACCTGCACAGAACAATCCCCCGGACAGGAGAAACGAGAAGGTAACATGAAGGAACGGAGAACAAGGAGCTTTGTTCTGTAAAACAAAGAGCTCAGGGACCTCAAGCTGCGTTTCAGAAGCAGGTAATTACACCCAGTAAAGCAAACCATACAGAGCTCAGTGCTGCTGTAACTCACACCACCACGACACCCCGGAGCAGCTGTGTCAATCTTCTGTGCCAGAGAAGAGTGGAACCAAACCAGTGGCTTCCAATGTCTACAAATGCCCTTTCAGCAACACCGGGGCCTGTTATCTTACAGGCTTTCCAGAACACATCAAAAATACTTCAGGATGAAAGCCTCTAATCTCGGTATGGCAGAGCTATGATAGCCAAGCTCTGAAGAAAAACCTGAGGGGAACAAAGGCTTGGCTGCTCAGCTCCTTTTCAGCTGCCTCTAGGTCAGTGAAATGTAACCGTGGTGATCAGCAGGGCCAGGAGAGATGAGGGGACAAGGAGATGCACTTTACCAGTCCTTTGATGAGGCTGAAAAATACACACTCTATTTACATACACCTTAGAGAACTACAAAAATGTGACGTTTCTCTTTAAAAACAGTGACCAAGGCAGACGGGAAGGTGAACGTTTTCAGGGAGATCCTGAAGGACTGGAAGAAAATAATAACAACAGCTTTGAAGTCTTCATTTTCACAAAACACCTGAGACGTCTTTGAGCCAAAATTTCCCGTTTTAATACATACCAGGTGGCAAAGAACATATTTGATGTCCTGAACTTTTAGGAAAACTGACTGGAGTACAGAGGTGCTTGTAACTCTTGAAAAAGACTCCAAGCCGTGGAGGCAAGTGAAAAGGGTTTTCTTGCAGAGGGAAACTCGGAGAGCAGCATTACTGCTGTCACCACCCGAAAATGCCCCCCCGAATTAAACCCCAGCCAACAGCCTTGCCAGAAAAAAAACAAGAGCATTCTGCTACCAATGTTCATCTCTCTAGAAGGAGGTCATGCCCTGGCACGACCAGGGGGCTGCACTGCGGCACCGGCCGGGCGCCCCCGCCCGCAGGGCCGGTACGGGCCGTGCCCGAGGGGCAGCCCGCGCGGGGCACGGAGGGCACAGCCCGGAGCGACAGCCGCCCCGCCTGCGCTGCGCTGCTCTGCCCTGCCCTGCCAGCACACGGGGCCTCCAGGCGCGCAGGGCCCGTTCCCATTCCCGTGCCCATTCCCGTGCCCGGTACCTGCCCGCTCCGCGACCCTGCTCAGGACACGGCGCCACCCGGAACCGGAAGCTGGGCGAGGACCGGCCGCTACAGGAAGCGCGGCCAGCCACGCGTGTTCCGGGGAGCTTTCGTTCCGGCCCTCCCCGCTGGCCCGGCGCGGGGGCCGTGTGTCTGTGTGTCCGTGTGTCTGTGTGTCCGTGTGTCCGCCCCGCTGCCACCGGCAGCGCTCCCGCCCCGGCCTGGCCAGGCAGGGACGGCCGGCTCGGGCCGAGGGGCTGGGGGGAAGGAGACGCGGACGGGAGAGAGGCCAATCGGTGCGGCGCTTGTTGCGGGGGGCGTGGCCCAATGGGCGGGCGCGTTGCTGAGGTGCGGGGCTGGCGGCGGCGGAGCGGAGGGGAGCGCGGTGAGGGGGCGGCGGCGCCGGGCGGGGGGCGAAGGACCGGGCTGGGCTGGGCTGGGCTGGGCTGGGCTGGGCTGGGCTGGGCTGGGCTGGGCTGGGTCGGGTCGGCACCGGCACCGTGGGGCCCGCGCCCTTCGCTGGCTGCCCGCCCGGCTCGGTCGCCGCCGGCGGTGCGGGACGGACGGAAGCCCCGCAGGGTCTGTGCGTGCGGGGGCGCGAAGCGTTCGCTGCGCTCCCGTCAGCGCCGCCCCTGCTGCCATCCCCGCTCGCTGTCCCCCCGCTCGCTGCCCTCGGCCGGCGCTGTGTGGCTGCCGTCCCCCGCCCTGCCCCGGGAGCGGTGGCGGGCCCCGGGCAGTGCCCGCTCCGTGCCCGCCCTCGGGAGAAGCCGTGCGGGGAAGCGGAGGTGCTCACGAGCCCGGCTGGCTCCAGGAGCTGGCTCTTGGTTTGCAGTGGGTATGTCCTAAAGGAGCGCTGGTGTTTGTTTCCGTAGGAGAAGCGGGGAGGCATCCCGAAATCCTGGAAGTGCACTGAAACGTAAGTGGAAGTTAAGAATTCTCTTGACAGCCGCTTCTTGACTGCGATGGTTACTCGGTGTCTCCGGGGGGCTCGGCGTTTTGCATGCCGCGGCTGTGTGATGGTGAAGTGTCAGTTGCCTTCGTATCTGATTAATTAAAATTATGTTTTGCGTTGTCAAGCTTAAGTGTATAGTCCCCTTCGTCTGAGAAGAGCCTGGTGAAAGATAACTGCACAGTCAGTGACTTATAAAGATTTAAATTATTCCTCCATCGTATATGATACAATAATGCTGGGTTTTGTTAGCAGAATACAAACTCTGTTTTGTTAATTTCTGATACTCTTACAAGAATGAGAATAAGCACTGATTATAGCATGATGCTGGCAGAATTTTGGGACAGACTATAGTACCTTTTTTTAAAATACATTTCAATGTAAAACTACCTACGTGTTTCAGGGTTTTTTTAATAGCGATATTGGAAGGGCATGAGAAGAGTTCCAGGAGGAATGGCATTATCATGTTATTAACAGTGAAACTGTTCTAAATAGAGTGCCATCTGTTTAATCCAGACTGCCTCAGTCTGGTTTCAGCATTGAATGTTTTTCGCTGTGAGATAAAGTCTGGAAGATTCAGAGCAGTCTCTTCTCAGGGTGAGCAGAGACACATTTGTTTTTCTGTAATGTCCGGGGGGGTGGAATTGTAGGAGGGCTCTTTATTTGTGAGATGCCTGAATCTTTGTCTTACAGAGAATGAAATTCTGTCAGATACCTGCAAAGTATTTCTCTTTTCCTGTTGTGGCTGAAAGTTAATGTGTACGTGTTCAAAGTCCAGCGGTGCTGAGGAATGTTGATATTTTCCTCAGAAATTTTTTCACTGACCCGTAGGCATGTCAGATACCAGATAGATTGGTTTTGCTTTTTGAGGGAAAAGTACAAAGTCCTGGTTTTGTTTATGTTTGATGCTTTTTTGTTTATTTGTTCTGGGGATTTATTTTGTGGCGCTTGGAAGCAGGACTGGACTATTTATCCACAAAAGAATACTGGTATTGCCGAGTCTGTCAGCGTGGATGTTCGGTTCTGATCTCAGAGCACTGGCTTTGTGTAATGTGTTGCAGATGAACAGAACTGTAGCAGGGGACTGCGGCTGGCACCATTTGTCTTCAAGCACCATCTCTTTCAAGGTTTAACAAGGTTTTGAGTAGCTGTTCCTGCCTCTCCCCCCACCCCCCAAAGTACATAAAGACTCTTGATAGGTAAAGCTGCGTGCAGCTGATACATCTGCTCAACTGTATTTTGCTTCCTAAATTTCCTTTTCTTTCAGCATGGACCGTAGTCTTTTCAAAATAAGACTGCACATGTGAGGAATGTGGTGTTTTAAGAACATAGTAAGCTTTTTGAAGCTGTATCTTCACCAAGTGAGTCTGCATATTTTAAAAGGGCCTACAGTTCTTGCTACAACCTGTTTTGAGAAGGAAGCTGCACCATAATTACAGTGCTAGTCTGAAGAAATCAATAGTATGCACAAGGAAATAACCTAAAGAAATTTTCATTTTGTGTAAAAACAAACAAACAAACCAACCCAAAAATCTGAATGTCCTTTGGGATGGGAAGGTCATTGGGATTCCATGTACAACTAATCAGTACTTTTTGTGGTTTATTCAGTTGGTTTTGTTTGTTTTGGTTATTATTATTCATGGTGGTGATAATTCCTGAAAAGATCAAGTGTTCTAGGATAAAGTTATGTTAGCTTGGATCTAACCATACTTGTTATGGTTTGTTGGGATTCCTGCTTGTGTTGCTGGGTTAGAGGAGGGTGGCAGGGTTTTCTTGAATGGCTTTCAGAAGTCCCTGTGCACTGTGGATTAGCAGACTGTGAGATACGTTCCAGGTACTGCTGTTCTCTGCCTGTGCATTTAATGTTCTCTAGCACTGAACGGTGTTTAGTGGTGTGCTCTTCATAACTGTGTTCTGGAGTGGAGAACTGTGTGACTGACAGTGACTTGAAGTATTTTCAGTTTTCAGATGACAAAAAAGGGTTGTGGCATTGTTCTGTTTTTTTTTCCTCCTCAATATCTTAATACATATTTGAGCTACTTAAATACTGCACATTTTTTTCTCTGAAATGATGTGTTACTTTCTCTAGCTTTGTGTTAGTTGTCATTTACAAGTCATTAGAAGCCTTTTGTCATTTGAATGAAATGGTCAACCTGCTTTAATTACAGTGGTGATGGAGAAGACCTTTCTCTAGTCCCTCTTGGTTTCTTTGGATGTCTTTTAAAAAAGGCTGTGAAAGGTAGGGAAGCAAATTATCTTCTCTGGCATGATTAGAGGGCTAAATATTTTATGGATAGTATCACAGTCTCAACCCACTGTTTCATCTCTCTCTTGGAGAAGGTACTGGCTGGAGCAGTAGTTGTAGTTTCTTTCTGCTTGTTGGTGTGTGTTTAGGGTTTTTTGAAGGGTTGCGACCCAAAGACTGTTCTTCACAGGAACAGCCATGTGGGTTTAATCTGCTGTTTTCTCATGAAGTCCGAAGCTCTGAGATCCTGGTGTGTGTGACAGGACCATTGTTTCAAGCCCTGCTTGTCTGCCACAGCTAAGCAGTATTTGACAGCAGGTGCTTTATTCTTACCCTCTTTCCTAGGCAGGCATATAGGGCTGTTCCTTAGGTCAGCTCTCCCAGGCTTTCAGTGGGGATGATGTTTTGTAGGTATTTTTGTTTCATGGCTATACTTAATTTATAAAACCTTCTGAGCCCATGTATGGTTTCTGCAGCTCCCATGTTTTCTGTCAATAAGCACTACCCTTCCTGTCTTGTGTGAATAAGTCATTCCTCTGCTCTTTTTGGAACCTGTTACCTGAGACCTTCATGTGATACCCCCTGTGTTCTGTACGAGGAGGGGCAGAACACTTCAGCTCTTTCCCAGGCAGTTTGATCTGAGCTGAGAATCTTTAAAGATCAGGGGAATGTGTTTACTCAAAAACTTGTCTGGGCAGGAAAATAACTTCAGATTCCAGTGCTTTTCTTTATGCTTGTTCTCTTACATCAAGATACGAACTAACATCAGGAAGTGAGGCTGGAGGCTTCCCCAGCTCACTCGTGGTGAAGGACATCTGTGCCACAGTGATGATCACTTAAGAAGTCCTGTGACTGTTTTCAGGGAAAATTGATCTGAGCAGAGACAGTCACAAATAGTACAGTTTGATTTCCTCATTCAGTCAGTTATTTTCATTTCCAAGTAGAATAATTGTGAGCAGTAATTCTTGACTCATTTAATGCTGTTTTCTACAGTTTTTTTGAGAGTAAGAAAGTGTTTTGAGGTTACGTTTGCAATTTTATCTACAGCTGGTTATACAAGCTGGTTGAATTTTTCTCTCTCAGCACCTCTGCTTGGATAATTCATGCTTCTAATAACAAGACAAATAAAGAGCTTTTTTTTGTTTTAAACTTTAGTCTCAGGACAGTTGCATGGAACGACTCAATGTCTACTTTTTTGTATAGAATTTTGACTTTTATTTTCTAAGCTTTAAATATAAGGTCAAGAGGTAGAGGGGCACTTCTGATGAAATAAAATATAGTTATCTAGTAAAACCTCACTGTAAACCAAAAATCTGTATTGCCAGCAGTGCCACAAGAAGAGAACATATAAACCATGATCAGGGACTGGCTGGAATAGTGTGTAGTTTGCAAACTGTTTCAGTATGTGTTCCAGGTTGTCAACATTACCAGAAGTTTTGTCTTGGAAGGAAAATTCCTGTGTGGCCATTAATCATTCTTCTGTTAGAGCTACGTTTTTCTGTCAGAATTACACATTTGGGCTCAGGATTTTTATATTCTGCTTTCCTTAGACCCAGAGAAGATAGAAATGGTCTGCTACAGATGTTTGTGTGACATTTATATTCATGTGTATGTTTTAAGGATAATAAATTATGTGGGCAGGGAACACATTTGCCTAACAAACCATGTAGCTACTTTTAAACTGATCTGCATCTTTTAATTTAATGCCACTGTAAAGTAATTTGTATCTCATGTACCGTGGTGAAGGATTAGGCTGAACTCTGTAACAGCATTACTCTGTCACCAGGAGGTACCTTTTTTCCCTGAAATCCTTTGCTTCTCATATTATGGATTCTATTTGAAAATGTCCCTGGGAATAAAAGTCACTTATGATTATCCACTTCAGTAGATGTTTTATCATTAATCTATTCAGATGATTTGTAAAAGACAGGACTATCAGTGGCAAGTCACTTTTTTGGCTTTCTGTTCTGCAGGCAGTGCAGCTTGCCTCTGCTGCCCACTGCCTATACCAGACCTGCTGCCTTGACCTCTTAGTCTGATTCTGTAGAGGAATTTAGATTTTATGGATGAAATTTATTCACTTTGCCTGAAAACAGACAGACAGAGACATCTGTAAGGAGATCCCGCTATGGTAGTGAAATAAAATGTCAGGTTATAACTACTGAAGAGTGGTAAACTATTTATTTATTTATCTCTTGGTGCTGAATGTCCCTGCTTGGAAAATGCCAAATCCCCGGCTGTGTAATACCAGTCAGCACAGGACCTGAGGAGATGGTTGCTGCAGTTCAAACCCATTAAAACACTCTTCCAAGAATTCCCTCTTTCTGCATACTCTGTGGGGGCTTTTCCTCCAGGACAAAGTCTCTAATGACATATCACTGTATGTTGTATTGTTGCACAGGTGTTTGACTAACACTGAATTTTGCAGTCCAAAAATGCAACATCTGTATTCTTGTGTGTAGATTTATCTAATCTTACTATGGTTTTATTTTAATGACTGTGATTCTCCAGCAAGCTGGGCTGGTTAGATGTCCTTTAGTAGTGTCTGCATTGTGTGTGGTTCACGAGTTCTTTAAATAGTTACACATTGCTGTGCCTCTGAATTCTATTTAAGTGAAATGTATGACATGGACATTTGTGCAGGCTGCATGACTGTACTTTGCTGATTCATACAGGGCACTAGTGATACTTCTGGAATCTTTTTCTGTATCCATTCCCTATA